TATTGGTAATTTGTAGCTGCACTGTTTGTGAGTAGTGTTTGTTGGTTGTTAAGCGTACGTCAACAAAAGGGCAGGGCGTGAGACTCGAGATCGCAGGTTTGAAGCTCATATGGAGCAAAGTTTTACTTATTCAAAATTTATTTCTATCTTTTCTTATTTTACTTTATAAGGATATTTTTTGTCGAACTCTCGATGGTGTTTTGAAGCGCTGCTTCGCCTCTGCGTATAAAAAATTTCCTTAGTTGGATTGGATTGTTTTCGGAATTGTACGACTGATCAGTTTGTGTGATATAGCCCTGTAATCATTGGATTTCATCAATGATTGCTAATTTTCCATTTTTTTGACTGAAGAAGAAATTGAGAATAACCTTCTGTTTTCTTCCAAAGTTTTTGACAAACAACACTTACCGTTATATATAACCCAATGGTATTTATTTTCTTTTTTATTTAAAAGCTGCGTTGTATTAAATTTTTGACAAATTTCTGCACACTCTGATATCAACTTTGGTGATGATTTAGGAAACTCTGATCTGACATTTTAGGATATTTTCTCGAATAGTATAAGAAATTGTTTTTTTTTGTTTTGTGAGAGGAGATTCAGTCCGTGAACTTAAACGCATTTATTTGTTTTCACTTTGCTCAAAATGCAGTTTTATTTGTGGAAAAAATCATTAAATGCAAAAATACGAGAACAAAAAGAATTCAGCATTTTAAATGTAGATCGTCGAAAGTCGGCGACTCTTTGCTGACAAGTGCGGCATCCAGATGTTAGGTTACAATGAAGTGAAATATGAATTAGAAATGAGAAATGGATTACAAAAACAAATAAAATTCGGACAAAACCGGCAAAAGCAATAGGAAAACATTGGTCCTAACCTTCCAAAGGTCATCCAAATCTGCTTAGACAGTAACTTTTTTCCTTATTAGTGTACGTCATAATTCATTTTATGCTAAACTGAAATTGATTTTAAAAGAGCTAATAAAATAAGTTTGATCAATTTTGTGAGGTCTACTAAGTTTAGAAATTTAGGTTTCTTTTGCAAGTATAATTCTTGTTTTCAGTTTTCTCATGTTGAGTTTGTAATTTGATTTAAAATCAATTATCCTGAAAAAAAAAGAATAACAAATGAAATTTTTGTGTCTTCCTTTTCTCTGTGTCTTTGATTGACAAATTGATGCTAAGTGGGAATGAAATTTTTCCAGACGGCGACGTGCTGTTTTACCCTCAAGCAGTAAGCGAAGAAAGGATTAATTTCTTTAATCAGATTAAAATTCAATTGAAAAGTTTTTAACCATTTTCTCTAAAAAAATCCAAGCTTTTATTCGAAATAAGTTTTACCATTAAACTGATGTGTCAAAAAATACGTTCAAAAGCAATGATAGCCGGTTACTGTGCAAGTAGCACAGAATGTTCCGACCATATTCTAAGAAAAAGTATTTGTTCATCCGTAAATTAGTTTCGTTTTTTTTCAGCGTGGTGTGAATACAAAACTTGAATAGAAAAATATTCGACATTCATAGTAAGAAGAGGCAAAACTTGTAGAAAAAGGACTAACAAAACAAAAAATATCAGAAAAAAGTTTAAAAAAGTTGAATTGAGTAAGTTTTCACGGCCTAGACTAAGCGAAAGAAGCTATTTTAACCGTGCTCGCTCGCTTTATTTGCTCGAAATTAAACTAAAAATCAAAAAATGTAGACCTGTTTTTCTCGATACTGGGACAACTTTTTGGAAATTTTTAAAATCTCTCGACCCGTTTTCATAACTACCTGATTTTGCGCGGAAGACAAAAAGAAAAAGAAAGAATAAGAAAAAAAAACTACAACACTCAAGTACAAAGTTTCTCTCCATTTTTAAAATGAACTGAACAAAAAACTGATTTTGGGAGCGCTGGGAGCTCTTAAGAATTCAACTCCCTCGCCGCTCAAAGGGTCCTATTATGGTATTTCCTAAGAACAACAAATTTTGATCCAAAGACCTTAAACTTATTCGAGAGGCGCCTTGTGGCCGAAATATACCATTATTAGGGACAGGCGCGGCAAAAAAAAACACATTTTTGCTCAAAACCTTCCAAAATGCCAAGTTGGTATAAGGACTCATTTTTAAAAGAAGTTTGCGATATCTTCATCTTCTTAAAACGTTTTATGTGGTCCATTTAGCTTGTTTTAATTCAAAATGAAATGATTTCTCAGCCGGGTCAATTTGGTGCCCACGTTACGCAATGAAAAAGCAGGCATTAATTATCTAGAAGATAACAAATGGTCAACTTCCACTTGAAACGACAATTTGTAGCATTTGAAAAAACTTTATTTTGTCGCAAAGAATTTTTCCATATTAAATGTGTAACCAATTTTAAAATGAATTCATTAGGCAATGCACAGCAACCAAAAGGCCATGCCACAACAGTTTTGGGACTCGATATGGAGTGTTTCGCGGAACTACTATGGAATCTTGATTATATTGCCTTGCGACCAATTTTCGCTTTTTTGTAAATGCGACGAATTGTTGTCACGACCAAATGCCCCTTTGTGACAAATTATCGCCAAACTTATTTTTCATTCAAATCTTTATTACTTTGCAAAAAAAAAGCAAATTACTACCGAGCAAGCCAATAAAGCAGAAGTTTCATGAATGGTAGGTTTGTTGTATACGGGCTAGGCACCATTGGTGTCTGCACTTAAAAAGACGTGGTTGAATGACGACAATTATAAGCTTATAAGTTTTAAACGACGACAATTAGAAAATTTACATTCAATCAAATTGACTAATAACTCGGCGAGAATTGGGAAACTGATCAATTTTGTTGGGTTAACGTTCTTGCGAAGTCTTGCGAAATTCTGTTGGGCATACAACACTGTCGCAAGTCCCGAAAACAAAGTACTGATTAAGAAATAAACACACAAGCAAAATTATCAAAATTGAGTAAATTCAAGTTCATAGACAATCATAAAAGATCTACAGTTTCAGGGGCGGATTTAGGGGGGGGGGGGGCGGACGCCCTCCCTCAGGGATTCGACCCCCTGCCGACCCAAAGGGTCCCCCCTTTGATACTTTTTAAGAAATCCATTTTTGGCCGACCGACCCTAAAAATTTTCTAAAGGCGCCTTAGGCGCCAATATATACTAATTTTGAGGGGGGAGCGCGCGCCGAAAAAACGCAATTTTTCGGTCAAAATTTTCCAAAAAGTGCCTAAAAACGCCTTTTTTGACCTGTTTTTTTGGCCGAAATAGGGACACGACCGTGCTTTGGGAGAGCTCGAAAAATCAATTTGGTCGACCTAAAAAAAAAAAAAGGTCGTCAAAATTTTCGAAAATTTTTTGAAAATCCGCCCCCCCCTCGACAAAAAGTTATCAGTTTGACGAAAAATTTTTTACAATAAAAATGTCACCAAGTTCAGCTCAAATAGTTGAGAGCAAAAATACAAGGAACTCGACTGGAATTATAAGCATAACGGGACTGAGACATATCTTTTAAAAATTACTTTTACAATTTTACAAAACTGTTTTTTAATTTGTCTGTTTTACTATGAGTGTCGAATATGCCTGAGTTTTAGTTTTCCGTTCAGATCCTTTCATCACCCACGCAGAGAAAACGACATTAATTTGAAAAAAAATTTTCGTATTTTTTATAGGAGTATGATCGGAACATTCTGTGCTACTTGCACAGTACCCGGCTATACCTGTGAACTTTTTTCTGCTTTTTGGGACCAATGTAGCAACTGTCAAAAAATTTAGTTTCTGGTGTAATAAATTGATTTGTTTTAATGTTCTCCTTAAAAAATATTTTTCTCAAAAATTTATTTTCCCAAAATACAACACGTTTTTGGAGACATTTCCTTTTATAAAGCAGAGAACAAATTTTTGCGCGTCGTCGCCTTTTTCAGGAGTTTTTTCACTTCCTAAATGGGGTTTAATTTTTTCTAATCGGCTTTCAAATTGGGCTACTGTTCCCCCCTTCATTAAGCAAACAAACAAATCGTGTGCCGTTTAGTACCACATTTCAGCAATTCGTGCTAGCTGTGTCCGTGAGAAAAATTGACAATTGATAATTAAGTAATTTTATTGGAAAATTAGGTTTTTTAATGCTCGCACGATATATTTTAGCTATGTCACAAACGTGTGAGCGGCGAGTTCATATTTTAATGACCATCTCAGTTTGAGTTGTTGATGCAAATTAGACTGCCTAAACAACGTTAAGCACTATTTTTTTTACTAGATAGTGTTGACTTTTCTTTTTTTTTAAATAGCTTTTGGTTTTGCTTTTTAGAAAATATTGGAAATTTTTCTTTTTTGACACTTTAAACAAACATTTTAATCCAGAAAATTTAAGGGACAAATGAAAAGGCCGTCGGATCACTGAGAGCTTCCCCAATAAGTATTTTCTCAGAGTTTGAAACATCTTTCTTCCCAATAATTCGTTAAATTTTTCTAGACGGAAAAGAGTGAAAAGGAAACCTGTTAATTCTGAAATTCCACGCCCATTTTCACTTTCATTTAAAATGGGGGAGTAGCGACAATCAAATGATCTTATTATCCTGGGAAAAAATGGAAAATTGCTTCAGTTGGGTGTTTCATTCTAAGAAAAACAAATTAGTCTAAAGTTTCAATTCATTCTAAACATCATTTATTTGTGTTAATGGAATTAATATTTATTTTCGCCTGATCAACTTTTCGATGAAGTGCACGTTTATCAAAATTAAATTTTTTACATAGGCAACAGACATGCTAATCGACACATGTGCTGTTTAATAGGTCGGTCTCAGCTTCGAATGATTTAATTGATCTCGAATTTTTTTTGTCATCTTGGTAAAATACGCCGCATTTTAAACTGTAAAAATCCTTTGTTGTGTCTAATCGTGTTATACTTGAAACAAAAGCATGCGTATGGCTTCTTTTTTGCTCATTTTATGCGGAATTGTTGTTTTTTTTTCAAAGAGGGATTGTTCACTTGCGACTTATTTTTGCCGTTCCATTTTTCCATTGCAGAGTGGAAACTTCTTTTATTTGATTGGCCGTTATAAGCAGCTGAAGATAGCATGTATTTATGTCTTATTGATTCGTAAATTCCTTCTTTATATTTGCTTTAGGCGTTTTGTTGTTAAATTTTGATCAATGATCAAATCTGGCCTTTATTTGACCAGAAGTAAATTTAAAATTGATTATTTTCTAATCCGCCGTGGATACACAGCTTTTACACTCCTTTCCGCGATTTAATTTTTACCAGGATTTAATCTGAGTTTTGTAAATTAATCCTTTCTCCAAGGCTTTCAAAATCTTCAAGGTTTGGTTTAATATATTGGTTATTCACAGTTTTAAACATTTTGTATTATTGTTCATAGCGTATTTTTATTGACATCCAGACATTTTTATTGTTTTTTTTTGCTTTGAAATTCATAATTCTTATTTACAAAAATTTTATAACCGATTTTTTTTTACCTGGTTCACTTTTCTATCTTTACTTGACAAAGGCTTACTTTTCTATCTTAATCTTTGTTCACCTGAATTCTAATTATTTTGCCCAGTTAATCTCTTCAAAGAGCCTTCGACAATTTTTTAATTACTACTTCCTTGTACTTTTTCCGGTTTCATAAATTTTTTTTTCAATTTTGGTAATTCAGTCACATTCACCAAGTCGCAATTAGTGTATATGTAACCATAAACGGAAAATTGTAAAAATGTAGCGACCTTGTAGCTAGAAAAACAAGATAAATTGATTGATACATTTAGTCTTTCGCTTTCCCATAATTCTACGTGACACAATTCGTCTGCTCTCAGATTTTTTTTATTTTTCTCTGAAATCCTGATTCAATGTCATTGACAACCGCTACCATCAATAGCATCAATAGCATCGGTAGCATTGATAGCATGTCAGTTGACAATTTCACGTTCTGTGAAAATTTGTTGGCTTCGAGAATTGAGAAAGATTTCAAATGGAGTGAAGCGGATGGAAATTGGGAGGAAGTTTTTTACGCGCCCATTCCCGACTTTGTACACTACATGTGCGCGTGTATTCTGGTCTGTCTTTTGGTTCCTGGAATTCTCGGAAACTCGGCAGCCATCGCCATCTTTATTCAGTGAGTAGTACCCTTCAAGATTTTCCTTATTTGAAAAACTAACTTTACGTTGCCATAATGTAATGAAGTTTTGCATGGTCAACAAACGAGCTTTTGTGAACAGATTTCTCCTTCATACCTTACATCGTAAAATTACACATTCATCCATAATAACATGCAAGACATTTGAAAAAATGGAAAAATTGAAATGTGTGCGGGGGGGGGGGGGGCTGGAAAAGTCAAAAAGAGCCAAAAAAAACGAGCAATTTGTGAAGGTTTTTTGCTCCCATCTACAAAAGGTACGCTACTTCTAGTTACTGGCAGAATTGTCTGAATTTTAAGTTGGCTGAATTCTCTTTGGCTGAATTGCCTGGACGCAATAGTAAATATGTCGCTAAGCCGGTGGCGTCACAAGTGTAGGTTTAGAAAAATTGTCTCCTTTTTTCTAGAACAGCCATTTCAAAAAATTCGAGCTCTGCCGAAACCCATGAAAACTTTTTTTTGAAAAAATGGCGTTATGAGCTTTTTTTGGATGTTGACCATAATTTCTTAGTTTTTTTTCCTCTTATAATTAATAAATATGGCCGCCGGCGACGCCTTATGAAAAATTTAAAGGTCGCCATAGCCAACTTTTAAATTTTTCATATTTAAAGTCCTTAAAATTTAAAGTTGATGTGGTAAAACACGTGTCCGGACAAACTCTACTGGGAAAAAGTAACGACTGGAAATACTTGGTGACCAAAAAGGCGGTCGCTGACGTTCCTACTACTCAACATCTCCCCTCCCCCTCACCCCTTCTCTCTACCCATCTTCCCTCTGGAAACAATACTGCCGCAGGGAAAAAATAAAAGATTAGTCCATTGAAAGACTTTTTTTGAGATGCCTTTTCATGAGGACAATTTATTTTTTATTGTTATCTGCTCTTAATGAGAATTGCCCGGAAGAATAATTTAAGGCTGAAGTCAATATTGTTTTTTTTCTAAAATGCAATTATCCTAAGCCGCATTAAAAACTCTAATTGTTACAAATTTGTGTGTTTTAAAGGTCTCTAAGGCAAAATCCTTTTTAAGGCATTATGACCAAATACTCAAGAAACTGCTAGATTTCTAAAGCTCGAGTCGAACTTTTGCATAAAACTTTTCATGAATAGGAGCTACATGAACCCAATCTTTAAAACGATTGGTTCCCAAGTTATCACGAAAAAAATTGACCAAATCGCGCCTAATTAGGAGCTCAAAAATTAGAAAATTAGGCTCATTTATCCCCTTCCATGGCAAATTAAAGACTAAAGTTTGGGCTTATTCAGTCCCTTTTGTACAAAAACAATTCTTCCTTGGGGGACTCGAACTGACTCCTTGAGTGCTCATTGAGGGCTCTGTACCACCTCTGTTCTACCAATAATTAAAATTGCTGTTTGTTTCTATTTGTCTATTGAAACTAAAATTAGAAAACTGAATTAGTCCAATTTGCTTTTATTTTCTAGTCAAATCTGAATTAAAAAAATATAATTTCAGATCTCTTATCTTGAAATACAAAAAAGACATTGCAGGCAAGTGCAATGAATGTGACATAGCTTTGGATAAGAACACCCAACATTTCCCCAACGACTCTCCAAAATCACATTTTAAGAGCTTAAGCTAAAATTAAGATTTAGTTACAAAGCCCGAACAGAAGACATCTTAATACCTTATTGTTCTGATTTTCGAACAAAGTGACGGAATATTTGAGCTAGGAGGGTTTTTTTCACCAGACAAGTTTCGACTTTTTAACCAGCCAAGTTTTTATATCATTAAAAAGTATGGTTGTGAGCTGAAATCTAAAAACATAATTTACCTGTGATCATTTTTCGTCAAGTTATAAAAGTTTAAAAATTGTCATTTTCGCCAATTTGGGACAATTAGCGCTCGATGATTTAATTCGCGCTATTAACACGTTAGCGGAGATTTAATCCATCTTAGAAAATGCAAATAGCTTGCTTCAACCAACTTGGACTAATTTCTAAGATGAACTAAACCTCCGCTTACGCGTTAATAGCGCGAAACATTTCATCGAGCGCCTAGTGTCTCAAACTGGCCGAAATGGTAATCCTTAAACCTTTATACTTTTTTGAAAAAAGATCACAGGTGAATTATGGTTTCAAAATTCAGCTCAAGGCAACAAAAATTTTTAGAAGATAAATAAAAACTTTGTCAAAAATGGTTAGTTAAAAGTGAAAACTTGTCTGAAAATATACACCCCGAGCACAAATATTCCGTCACTTTGTGCGAAATGCAGAATAAAAAGGTATTGCAATGATTTTTTTAATACTGGGAGCAAAATATATCACTTTTTTTCCCGGCTTTCGGAGAAAATGAAGAATAAATATGCTCGTGTTGATTTTTTTTTATTCAGATCAACTCTCCATTTGATTTCACTCGGGTATCAATCCATGGATATTTGAAATCCTAGACGGGTTGCGCTCACCACTAGACTGTCCTGACTAATAGAATGCTGTGAAAAGCTCACCGATAGACTAACGGGGCTATAAAAGCGCTGTGATACGCTGTTTCTGAAACGCGCATTATTCACGGGTGGCGATTTATCCCGCACTACAAAATGGTTCAAAAATCAATTGGGTCGGACAATTGGTCTTATTAATTCCATACATGAATCTCCGGCTCTTCTCAAGCTTCCTTACCCCTCGTAAAATAACAAAAAAACACTCGAAAACTGTTTACACGGCAATTTCAAAGTGTGAAACGTTCTGAAGTTTGTTCACCTGTTCGCAGTTTATAACATGAAAAGTCGTTTTAAAAAGACTTTCTTGAGTTTAATTTCAGAAAAAAAAATCAAAAAGGAGGGGAACTGGAAAAGAGCCGATTCGTCATATTCATCTTAAAATTCATAGTTTGTCAATACTTCATTAACCAAAAACTTTTCTAGACCAGTTTATGGATAGTCGGATAATTTTTATTTTTATATACTTTCATTTTTTTTGAAAATTTGATCAATTTTCATAGAGCGTAAAATGCCCTATAAACCTTAAAACACATTCGGAGCAATCCGGGCTTCGCCCTGGTACAAGCAGTCTTGTTATCATATAAAATAAATCGGCAGGTCGGGATGAAATATATGAGCAGTAGCAACAATAGCACAAACCACAATGTTTGAGGAAAAAACTCGCAAAGCAAACAAGACTGTTTGTATCAGGTCAAAGCCTTGTAAGTTCCACCTGCCTTTTAAGTTCTGTGGAGCAGTGTTCGTTTTATAAAAACTGATGAATTTTTCAAAAAAAATTCATCCTCCCTCAAGCCATATAAGTGATAGATTTCGCTCCTATTAAAATACCAGTTATGGCACATTGCAACCAATTTGGAACAATTTCTTAGACAATTGCTAAGACGAAAGCCGAAATATTTAATGTGATTTTTTTGATAACTTTATAGTTGATTGATAGTCGGTGGCGTAAGCTGGAGTTTTCTAGGATGGGTTCTGTTTTTCAAAATATAGCAAACTTTCTTTTTAAATTGACCAAAATGACTTTCCCAGCTACCTTAAAAACCTATTGAAATCCCATTTTTCGGAAAACACTCTCTCAGTTATTGAAAACAAACCTGGCAGTTATGATATTTTTGACAAAAAAACGTTTTGACTAAAAAATGGCGTTGTCTAAAATTTGGCGTTTTTTGGGGGCGCTAACATTTTTGACTAGAAAAGCGCGTTTTGGAGCTCGCATGGCCGATCAGAGTTGGCTGATTATACGCGCGCGCCCGTTTTGGCCAGCCGCAATTTGAGTCTGCCAGAATTGAGTGCGCGCAGAAAGTTAGCCAGAAATGAGTTTTAAATGCGCATGGTCAGCCCATAAGTGCAAAATTTTCAGATCATTTGGCCAGAATTGTTTGATAAAAACTTGTTTGAAATTCCAAAAATGCTTGTTTGGTTACAAAATTGCCTCTGCGAGAACCACCTTGATTTTCGGGCGATTTCAAAATTTATATAAAAAACGGCAAAATTCGAGTTGTCGGATCCCAGTTTTTCACATTTTTTAAAATATCAGAAGCCCCCTGAGTTTAAATCTGGAAAAATTTTCGGTGAAAACAATGTTTTAAGCTGATAATGGACCCAAATAAGAATTCAGTCCTTTCAAGCTGTAATAAACTTCATTTGATTTATAGCTGTTATCTTGAATTGTGAAAATATGCTTGAACGTGAATAAATTACACCAGTTGCCTGAATTTGTACAACTAAAGTACGCATTGATATAGAAATTATCAACTGGTTTTTTTATTATTCGATGAATTAATATATTGTAAATTTCTGATAAAAAAATTAGTATTGAAACAAATACACAAAAGCGCTGTTACATGAACGCACGCACGCACGTCCGTTATAAACACACGTTATCACTAGAATCCACCTGAGAGTCTGCAACGGGTGTAAAGCAAAAGCCATCACAAGTTTCTGCCTGGGGGTGCCTGCGTGCGTTCATGAAATCACGTTTTTGTGTATTCGTTTTAATTATAATTATGTACCTAATCATAAATTAACACGATTTAATTTATCGAATAGAATGAAACAAGTCCATTACTTCAGTTCTGGTCCCGCGTCAAAACAACCTCCGCCATTTCCATTGGTCGAAAACCAATGTGGTGCCAAATTATCTGGTCGAGTTTATGCGTGAGCGAATTGAACTGGATAGCATTGAGGCATTCTTAAAAGTTTCTACACTTCTGAAATAATTTGAAAATTTGTCCGGTTTTGAACCTACGCTAAAACGCATTAGAAAAAGGTATGGATTGTTGCCCAAAGCCACGAACCGGTAAATTCAGGGGGCGGATTTTCAAAAATTTTCAAAATTTGTCGACTTTTTTTGGTCGACAAAGTTGATTTTCCGAGCTCTCCCAAAGCACTATAAAGACCCCGTTTTGGCCAAAATTTCTGCGCCACAGGCAAAATTTTGAAAAAAAAGCAGGCCAAAAAGTCGTTTATAGGCACTTTTTGGAAAGTTTTAACCAAAAAGTTACTGGATTTCTCAAAATAGT